GTAGTTTTTCTTATGATTAATGTGTTTTCTCTAAGGTTCAAATACTTCAATTAAGATAAAGATTAGCATTGTGTGTTTGTAGGATCTACCAAAAATGGTTTGCTATAATTTTTCTGATGTATAAAAAATCTCAAACCAAACTGATAAATCCAAACCCAAGTAAAAACGAACCGAACAAACGGAAAGAAAAAACGATCCAAAATGTTAGAAATTCCGTTTTGACAAAAAACCGAACTCACCGCTAATTAGAAAAATAAAATGTAGAAAATTTCAACATGAGCGATGCTAAGGCGAAAGCACAACAAGCCCATTTCAACAATGAAATTATAAGTATGCTATAATTAGCCTAATAAGGGAGGAGAGAAACTATTTTTCTCCAACAAATTTTCATTTATGTTTCGCTTCTTTTAATTTCCTCCAATGTCTTAACGAACCTCTTCCCTTATGAGTTCATGTGCCTTGAATTTTGAAAATCTTTTTCCCCTTCCTCCATTTATATATATAACCATGACATACATTTTGCATGTTATATAAAAATGATTTATTCGAGAGTTAGTTGGTTCATGGCTTCTTCATTGTTGTGTGAAATGCAGAATAATGTTATTGTTAATTGCTCACTCGTGTGATAATAATAGTTGTTAAGTCGTTTTACGAGATTGGATGAGATGGGAGTGGGATATATCGCGAGATTATGAACCCCTGCTATGCAGATTACGTTAGCAGAGACAGCAAAAGAACACTGCGCTGTCAGGGCCTGTGCATTGGGTCCTCTATATTCCATACAACTGGATTTCGAATTCTTCACCTGTCTCAACTCCCTATGCGCAATTGTTTAAGGAACAATGATAACATTACCTACCCTGCTACCATGTCCATTTGTTTTTTGACCCACCAAGCTAGTGAGGTGACACTTGGCAACAATTTCGTTCTATTTTCTTTTGGGTTTGGAACTCTAGAAACCGGATCCTCTCCTAGGCTTAGGAGGCTGTGCCTCCTGAGCAAATCACACATGCAGTTGAAATTTGATCAAACTGCTACAAACATGAGACATCTTTAAAAGTTATAATAATTTAGTCGTTGAATCAAATTTTAAAGATCCATGTGATTTGCTTAGCAGGCTGGAACTCTAGAGCCAGACTTGCTAACGAAGAAGGTGACGTTTGTGTAATACATGATTTGTTGATTGATGCATATAATTATTCGATAAACTTAAGTGAGATCGCTCGTCTAGCTAACTAATATGATTGTTTAATATTAACGAGTGTTTAATATCGACACGTTATTGACTATTAATATCTTATTTATATTAGCGATATTACATCATTATAAATATCATTCTCTGTATATTTTTTTAATAAAAGTTTATGTGTCATTTAACTACCGATGTGACATGTTCTTATTGGTTACCAAGTTTCTCTCAACACTAACGAGAACAAAAAGCCCAAGTAGCTTGTTTGTACCATATTTGACCAACCCCGAAACTACTAAGCACCAGTCAACATTATACCTCTAAGGACCCACAAGAGTCTCCCTCCAACTAGGAGGCCAATTACAACGTGACACATGTCAACATCAGAGGCCAATCATAACGCGACACGTGTCGACATTAGAGGCCAATTATAGCACGACACGTGTCAATGTCATAATGAAACTAGAAGCTCTATTCTATAAATAGAGATCATTCTCTCACAATATTGCCAAATGTCATTTGTACTAAATCATTACTAGTACTCACTAAATGAGAGCTTGAACCTATGTACTTATGTAAACCCTTCACAATTAATGAGAACTCCTCTACTCCGTGGACGTAGCCAATCTGGGTGAACCACGTACATCTTGTATTTGCTTCCCTGTCCCTATCCATTTACATATTTATCCACACTAGTGACCGGAGCAATCTAGCGAAGTCACAAACTTAACACTTTCTGTTGTACCAAAGTCCCCACTGATTTTGTGCATCAACATAGCTAAAAAATGTGTTAAAAATCTGACATCCATTATCCATATGGAATGAGGATTCTCTAGGATTCTCAAATCGTGTCCGTTCATCGTACATATATGAACAGTATCTGATAAAAATTGATCGTACGATGTAGGATAAACGGACATAATTTAAAAATTTCCGGGATCCTCATAAAGAGGATCCTCGTTCATCCATATAGAGTGTGTGTGTTTCCCCTTGTGTTTGACACCCAACGTGTCATTTGTTGTTTGACTTTTGGCCTCGTTTCTCACCAAGGAAACGGGCATAACGTGTTATGCTTCATTTTCTTAAAAAATCATTGGCAGTAACCACCTCCGCAGGTTGGGCCTGGAAGCATGATTTGCTACCAATAGGGAGTGATAAGAGAGAGCTTATCAAATTGAACACGAGGGGTGTTGTTAGGCCTTCTTTTAACTTAGAGCGATTTTGTCAAACATTTTAACGCGGCGTGTTATAATGAATAGAAAAATTATCGGAATACATTAAGCTAGGATTCACTAGTAAACTGAAATTCGCCAATAATTGAGAAAATGTCAAAATTTGTCATCGATTTGATATGTCAATGAGGAATTCGGCCAAAAATGCATATATGTCAAGATAAAGTAACGTCTCTTGTTCGCCATACTGTTCTCTTCAAAACAACAAGTCATGGACCTAAATCGAACGCCATAACCAAATCTCTAATGATTGGGCCTTGCTGTTAATTTTACGTCTTTCCAACCATCCTATGATCAATTCAGCCATTTATTCTATATCATGTCTTACAAAAAAAAAATGTAAATGATTTACGTATGAAACCAAATCAATGGAATAAAAACAAAAATTTAAAAGTTTGTTGGGTCCTATGTATATTGCCTCTCCATTGTGCCTTTGCCGGTTCATCACCTAATTGAATGTCAACAAAATTGAATGGGAGCTCAAATCTCCACAATAGCGACTAGAACATAAGATTTTAGTATCATTAGCTCTTTGTGGGTCTCTAAGAGTATGATCTTTTGTATTAGTTGAGAGTTTACAACCACTTAACACCATGATCAAGGAACTAATTGTAATCCTAACTCGCACGCAAGGATTTATGATTATACACATACTATTGGGTTAAACTTAATTATTTCATTAATTAAATACTAATTTGATATGAGGAGGTTGTTCTCAAATCCAAACATTCGACAAACTGATCTGGCGTTTTTGTTCTTATGCAACAAGTGGACGATTGCTTAAATCAGTTGATATCATTTGCTAATTTGATTTAACTTTTTTATTCTTTTACTTTTGTAGAAGGATATTCTACGTTAAAGGGTGGTATCTAAGCAAATAACCATCAAAATTTGTACGATATAAGCATAAAATCAACACCAAAAGCCAACAGGATCTTCTCCGGATCTTTTTGGTGAAGATCATGGGATCCGTGAATCATGTTCATTCATCGTATACATCGTGCAATCTGTTTTTATGACTGGACAATGTTCGATGAATGGACATAATTCACGGATTCCCGGGATCCTCACAAAGAGGATCCGATGAGAATCCGGACTTCACCAAAAGTATAAGTAGAGAATCCTATTCACGAGGAATGTTAAACATAAAAAAGGTCGTACCCAGTGTACAAGGCTCCCGCTTTACGCAGGGTCTGGGAGAGGTGAATGTTAAACATACTTTAAAAAAATAGGACTCTTCATAAACTCTCTACCCCTTCATTTTTTTGCATAATATTTTATAATATTGATACGAAAATTAACATTAAACTCCGAAACAATAGAAAATCTAAAAAATCAAATTTTAAGAGAATTCCCTTCGCATCTCTCTTTTAAAGTTGAATAATTCTCCTACTTCTTTTGAGTGAGCCGTGGGCCATGGTACAAATATAAGAGGACCATTGGACCCCCCCACCCACAGACCCACTCACAGCCCTGTACTTTTTCCACCCAATCCATTCAGCCCCAATAATGGCTCAAAAATATTTGGGTGCCGGAGAGTGTCTGTGTATTTTAACCGTTAGATATTAATTTTTATATTTTTAAATAAAGATTTAATAGTTAAAATAAAAAGAGTATAGAGTCCTTTCCGAAAAAGTCCCATGAAGGAATTTATCGCAAACCCAAATGATGAAACACCTAAACTTCACATGTAAGATGAGCAATTTTCTGACGTACTAATAATCATGTGATAATATTATTCAACTCAAATCATAAACATGAAATTTTCTTTTAATATTTCATGGAAATATAACATATCGGTTTTTATCATCTTACTCTTTATGTGAAAGGAATACCATAGCTTTCACTGATACTTTAAAGTTTTATAGGAAGATGTATAACATTAGGAGAATCTTCGAGCTAAACTGGCGGAAAATAACATTAATAAATATACTTAACTTGTAAGTTAAGTTGCGTATTGATTTGATGGTTAGAACATCAACTTATTGCTTTTCAAATTTAAATCGTCCATTCTATTAATGTAACTTACAATGGTAATACCGTTTGTAATAGAAAAAGAGTAGCAAAACTAAACTTCACAAGATGAGAAAAAAGACCCAAAGAAGAAATAGAATTGGGGACAACATACCAAGAGATTTTTTAATGTAATCGGTACACGAAATGATACATTACGTGTCACTATATAAATAATGAGATGTGTGTGTTAAAAAGTTAATAATTTAAAAATAAAATTTCTCACAACTGATATAAAAACACAAATTTCTCTAGCATATCCATCGCCACGAAGTTTGGATGAGGGCTCAAGACCACGTGTCAAAAAACCCACATGCCAGTCCAAAATCCGGCAAGTGCTGGCCCTCACTGGCTCACAGCCACACCACCACCCGTAGATACCAAGAAAACCCGAGAGAATCCAAAAACCAGGCCCCACCTCCCCAAAAAAAATTAAAACCCTACCTCTGCTGCACAAAAACTTAAAAACTTTAGTTTTAACAGTATAACAGGATAAAATAAATAATATTACGATTGATTTTTTGGTATAAAAATATAATCTTTTGATAAATTAAATCGTACTAAATTTTTTCGTTAAAGTTGTATAAATTCTAGCCCTAGGGTTCAAAAATTCTGAAGACACCCAACTTATCGTTTTTATAAATTCCCCATGTGTGGACTGAGCTCCTCGTAATTCACGACAACAATTTGCGGGGCTTCGCTTTTGGCTGCGTGTGATATCTTCCATGTCAGTGTCGCATTGTGAGAGTGGGAACACAGGGTTGCATGCGGGTGGTTGCGCGTCTGCAAGGTCGTACTCGCTTCTGGGCTCGGCGACGGAGCCATGGCGGTTAAGAAGGCGTGCGAGTCGTTCTCAAAGAGCTTGATCGACGAGGTGCAGAGATGGGGCTGTATGAAGCAGACGGGGGTGAGCCTCAGGTACATGATGGAGTTCGGGTCCCGGCCCACGCAGCGGAATTTCATAATCTCGGCGCAGTTTCTGCACAAGGAGCTCCCCATTCGGATTGCCAGGCGGGCGACCGAGCTCGAGAGCCTCCCTTACGGCTTGTCTGAGAAACCTGCCGTTTTGAAGGTGCTTTCTTTTTATTTGTTTTTGTTAAATTATGCATTTTTTTTGTTCTTGGAATCGAATTGTGAGAAATGGGATTTGGGTTTTAGTTAGTTTGTGGAACAGAATAAAGGTTTAAAATCTGTATTTAATTGTTATATTATTATTTATTTGATTGTACCATAAAAGGACTGAAAAGTTGGGCTACATATCCACTTTAAGTTAAATTTTAATTTCAATTTTATTTTTAATTTTCAGAATGTGGTTCTGGTAACTGGGTTTAAAGTTTTAGTTCATTGCATATAGAATGTGAAGGATGGATCTTTCTGCAAATTGCTATGTGGGTTTTTGTGGAATATTCATTGACTAGTTTGTTTATGAATATGTGGAGTTTTGTTCTCTGACTATGTAAGTTCAATTTTTTTCCATCGACAATGTGAAAAACTTTGCTAGTAGGTCTTATGTGATTTTCGAGTAGTCTGCAAAATCAATTTTCAGAGTGACTGCGAGCGAATTGCTTGCGGTTGATTGTTCTTGTTGCAGCCTGCTATGATATTAGTTCATCTGAGCCCTTGTTTTTTAGCCTTTTAAATTTTGGACCGTGAACTATGCCGGAACTATATTTTAAATGCAATTGTTTAAGAATCAGATATTACAAGGATGAAATTTTGCTTTATTTTATTTTCAGGTACGGGACTGGTATTTGGATTCCTTCCGTGATCTTAGAACCTTTCCTGATATCAAGGATGCTAAAGATGAGAAGGATTTTACCCAAATGATTAAGGCGATTAAGGTGAGACACAACAATGTTGTCCCGATGATGGCTTTGGGTGTTCAGCAGTTGAAGAAAGAGAAGATTCTACATGACGATCTTGATGAGATTCACCAATTTTTGGATCGCTTCTACATGTCAAGAATTGGGATTCGCATGCTCATTGGTCAGATTGCCTTCTTACTGTGATTTTTTTAGCTGGCTGGCTTTGCAAGTTATATCACTTTTCTTTCAGCGGGTTCTAACATCTCTAAAACTCAGGCCAGCATGTTGAGTTGCACAATCCCAATCCCCCTCCTCATTGCGTGGGTTATATCGATACAAAGATGTCGCCCATGGAGGTAGCACAAAATGCCACTGAGGATGCCCGCTCAATCTGCCTACGTGAGTATGGCAGTGCACCTAATGTTACTATCTATGGGGATCCCAATTTTACATTCCCGTAAGTATATTTTGTTCTCACTCAATTGGGTCTGCTTCTAATTGAATCGGTTCTACATTGCCACAAGTATATTGTTCTTTATACTATCCTGAAATCTATGCGACTCTTTACTTTGAATCCAGAAGCGGTGGCTAGTGATATATTATCATCAGACAAATAAGGTTCTGTTTGTTTTTGTAACAGGTATGTTCCAACACACTTGCATACTATGGTCTTTGAGTTGGTTAAGAACTCCTTACGTGCCGTCCAAGAGCGTTTCATGGACTCGGATAAAGTTGCACCTCCTGTTAGAATAATAGTGGCTGATGGAATTGAGGATGTCACTATCAAGGTATTATTTTGTTTGATTCAGAGAATTTCATATGTTTATGAAACCAATTTTTGTGAGATGCTTATCAATGAAGTGCTTATCAAGTTGGTACGGCTGACTTAATAGGTCTCGGATGAGGGGGGTGGCATACCAAGAAGTGGTCTCCCCAAGATTTTTACATATCTTTACAGCACTGCAAATAGCCATTTGGATGAGCATTCAGATCTTTCGGACGCTGATGCAGTTACAATGGCTGGATATGGATATGGGCTTCCTATTAGCCGCTTGTATGCTATGTACTTTGGAGGGGATTTACAAATGATCTCTATGGAAGGATATGGTAAGTTGTCAAGTTCCCGTACATGTTCCATTTAGTTACACACAATTAGTGGGGCGTCGCAACCACAGTCATACTGTTTGTTGCACCTTTGTTTCTTCATATGTGTTATGAAAAGAGATATATTCTGACAATAGCCATAAGCTATTGTAATTAAACACAATACTTGTCCATGTCAATGCCTAGTCATCTGCACGTTTCACGCACCGAAAATTCTACAAGTGATCCACATTGTTGCATTCAGAATATTACACACTATTAGCAAGGCTTTACAATACAATTTGGTTGCAAGGGTTAAAGACTCTGGATGTCATTAGTTCATCATCTTATTGTTTTCACTTACCTTGTTAGAGTCACCTGTCGTCGTCTTTTTGCCTCATTTGCACCGTGCTTCATCCACATTTTCAAGCTCGTCGTGTTTAGAATACTTGTACATGATCGTGCAGGACTTTCCCTTCTGAGAGTCGAAGGGTTAGTTCTTATACACTTCAATTACACCGTATTCTATAATTTCAAATTTTAACTGAATAAACACGTGCATCTTGATCTCTCTTTAACATCACCTGTCATTTTCTTTCACTTCATCCGCCGATATCTTCTCACGCATAGCCGTCATGTCTGTACAGGGACCGACGCGTATCTGCATCTGTCTCGCTTGGGAGATTCTCAGGAGCCATTGTCATGATGTGATCTTGTGTTTCAACGTTGATGACTACGATACAGTTGAATTCTTAAATTAATTCTGGGAATGTTGCAAGTAAAAAGTGCCATATAAACACGTTTATTGTAAATGGATAAAATTGCTGTCAATTTTTTTATTTATTTTTTCTAATAAAAGTTGGCAGTGATTCTTCTGTATCTTCTATGTAGTCTTGCCTCACCAGGTCGGAAAATGATAAACACACAACCTTTTTAGCATCTCATATACCCCTATCTGATTTTGTTTATAGTTTTTGATTGATTTATTCAATCCGACATTTATAACCTCATTTCATGTAAGTAAACATGTCATGAAAAGTAACGCACCCGCCACCAAAGGAGACAAATAAAATGAAGCAAAAATAAAAAGGAAACAAGATGCCTCCTTAAGCAAATGACCATGGCCGATACTGCGTGCTGGTGGAAATCATATCCAGAGGCTACAGGCTAACACCTAAGTGAGGCAAGCAGTAACAGAAGCTTTCAAGAAACTCTCACTAAATTAAATTACGAATCATCAATAATATCTTTCTTTGATTGCCTGTATAACAGAAACCAATATCTCTCCAGCGTTTCAAAAATTTGGTCAACGACGTGAAGATATATCAGTGCCTTCTTTGCTTTGCACGCTGATACGACCCTTTCCCTTTTATCTTCCATTTTTCATTTCCACCAGGCCGGTTTTTCTCTTCTATCTCGCGAACCTTCCGCTTTCTGTAAGGTGGACCGAGGAAATAAGTAACGGCATGATAGGAATAAATGTAAGTTTTAACTTTTTTCGGATGCCAAAAGAATCATCCTTAAACATATGGTTTCAGAGTTTGGAAAACAGTAGATGTCTCTGGCTGTCTTATTACCTGTAGTTCCCAAGGTTACGATCAGAAAGCACTTCCTCTGCAAGGGACACCTTCCTTTCCTTCTTTGTCAGTCTGCTTGAGAAGAAATCTAATGGGGACTCTATCACTGTCCCTACCTGATAAGCAACCAAAAGGCAGATAACCTCGTCAAATATACTAATACATCCTATGAATGGCTTCTTGTAATGTTATTGTGGTACCATATTCTAACCTGGAAATACTTGTTCGGTTGTGCATCCCCCTTTTTGTAATGTCTCTTTGGATCCATAACATTCCTTAACTGCAATTAGAAAATTGAATCAGCCACAACGAAAGCATAAGATTACACCAAAAGATAAACGAAACAATAAAACGCAGAAGTTATAGTAATCCTTGCAAATGGATAAACCCTATATCAATAAGCCAGCAAAATGGTGCATGAGCAGGCATATATCCCACTAGGTTCAAATAAATGTCAATTGATACGCTTTAGAATGGAAATGGTCCGAACGATACAGGAATCATGGAAGCATGCAAAATTACTGAATGTTGGAAGGGGTTCCAGATTCCAAAGAATTACCATCTTGTTTAATGTTTCGACGAACATATGGTTTCCAGATGGACAAGAAAAACAACTTACCATTGAATGTGCTAGCACCTAGATGGTTCATTTCCGTTAAAACCAATTTGACAAGGACTCGGAATCATACCAAATTAAGTGTACCATCAAATGTAAACTCATGGTAACAACAACTATAACCACAAAAACTTCTACAACACAGATCACTATGAGTAAAATCCATACCGAGGCAAGAGAAAAACCGAGAAAACAAGGAATGCACATGACTACAACATTGTGCCAATGAAAGATAACAGAAACACAACATAAGTTGCCATACCTTGAGCAATTGGAGATCTTTCTGCAACTCCGGGGTCATGGTTGGTGCAGGCATGTCAAACCTAAATCAGAAAACACATTACCAAACACCGAAAACAATGTAGTTTCAATCGACGGCCAATTATATGGGGGACTCTAACAAAACCCAAGACTAAAAGGAAACACAGTGAATTGAGCTGATGACATACCAGCTTGTTCCAGCTGTGTCTTTGATCTGCTTCTTGGCCAATTTGTTCCTCTTTACCGGGTCATTCGGCGGAACGAAGAGGCCATCGACAAGCTGCGTACTGGGTTTCCAAAGCGGATTGGCTTCGGGGCGAGGTTTGGAGCCAGACCCCGATGAAAATGCCGGCAACTTTGGCTCCCATGAGAGCCCAATCGCCGCCTTGCTTTCCGCCATTCTGGAACGAAATTTATGGAATCGAAACTCGAAACAGCACCTATGGAAATTACAAGCATAAGCTGATAAGCATAAAGCAGTTTTAATTCCTTGAAAAATTTAGAGAAGAGAATAAGATAGCGTACTGGCGGTGGCTGAATCGTTGAGGGCGGCGGCTCGTTGCGTTGCTTCACCGACAACGGCTTCGGACTGAGAGAGTTTGGCTGCTTCGATAGGAGGGAGACTGCAAAAACTGGGCTTCGAGAGGAGGCGGCGTCGGAGAGAGAGTTGGAAGTCTATTTCCAACTATGCCCTTTGTGTGCAGGTACATTAAATGTGTTTTTTATTTATTTTCAAAGTGGATTGTTCATGTGTCACAGATGCATTTTTCTCGCCACAAGTAACGGTATTGCTCATCATCTTAATTTTTTAATTTATTATTAGAAGGATAAGAGTTTGAAATTATTACAATAATTTGGAGAAGTAGAGAATTTCAAATCCGAAACGCATAGGTGGAATCCACTAAGATTTTTGAAGGTGATAAGGCTTTGGAGTTATGATGAAAAAACCCGTTGGAATAAGTAACATTTCAGGAAAAAGGCTTTGAAGAGTATTTTACATGAAAGGACGCCCTGTTTTACTTCAATGGGTAACTTGCAAAACAAGTAAGCTGGAACATAATTACACAACTAAGGCCGAGCTTCCTCACCACCATTACATTTTGCGTTAGCTGAAGGTCTACATCTTGCTAATCACTCATGTCATCATGGAAAAAGTTCATATCGCCATCCGCCTCCTCCTCCTCCTCCTCGTCATCATCATCGGTGGCAACACCAGCATTGGCTGGATTGACATTTCCATCAGCCAAGGTTACCAGCTCAATGGATCCATTCCTCGTCTCTCCATTTGCCATTCCACATTTGTAATCAACAAGATCATTCTCGTATTCATCAACCTGTTCGATTTCGTTGTAAAGGACCTCCTGACAGACAAAATATAAAGAATTTGATTTCAGACAAAATGTAGTTTCCTGTTACTTAATAAACAAGCTTCCAGAGTCATTTGCACATAACTAAACCACTGTGCCGAATAACAGAATCTAAGCTTGAAATACCTCATTTTCTAGCAAGTCATTTTCCGCAGCATCTACAATCCAGTCATCTAGCAACCGATCTAACAGCACATTGTCGAGGGAGATTGAATTTTCCGGCCTTCTTCGTAATTGCTGTTCTCTAAGACGCAAATTGTAATGAACGTAGATGAGCTCGTTTAATCTTTTTTGGGCTAAACGATTACTTCTTAGACTGTACAATTGATCGTATATACTCCAGTTATGCTCACACCCAAAAGAAGAGCATGTCTGACTCAATATACGCACAGCTATACGCTGCAGCTCCAAGCAACTTATCCCATGTTGCTGCCACCATGCGGCTAATAGGAAACAAGAGTAGGAGAAATGTATCAGCAAGTGGCATAATGCCCAGAGATTCAACACATGGGAATGCATATACCAGAACTCTAAAACGTGTAGCATGACAGTCTAATGCTATACCTGGATCAAGCTCTGTTCTTGTACTGATTGCCAATTCGGTTCCAAAATCAGCTTTAGCAGAATTGTAATCAGAAATCTGAGGTGTTGGGATACAGAATGGGAGAATACAATAAGACGTCGTCTCAAGATATAAAACCATTCAGCATCCAAATAATTCATTCCAGTAAGAAAAAACTATTACCTGCATAGATGCAGAAATCCTATTTGAATGGTCTGGCTCCAGCCGAACAATGCATTCGTTAAGTCCACGCATCACCTCAGTATGCTACACAAATTACCATCTGGATTAGGAAAGAACTTAACATCATGAATAAAAAACACAAACAGTCATTGTTTCTCTTACTGCCATAAAATCAGGTCGATATCTGTATGATGGATTTAAGTAGTAAGCAGCTACATATACGGGTGGTAGAACAGCGAGTTCCAATGACTTTCTATAACGCTCCAAAATGGTTCATATTTATGGACTTTATTACCATGAATGGCTTTTATTGCAATCTTAGCCCTGCACATGTCATTGTATATAGATGACATTGACAAGCAGTCACCACTCTCAACCTTTTGAAGAATTTGCATTATCGGGTTCACTGAATTCCTAACAAACTGTAACTTCTTCCAAAATGCAGCATTTAAGACGATATTTTCCACCTGTTTTCCCTCAAATGATTTGGAGCACTGTGATGAAATCCATTTGTTTGATTGAAACATTCTTTTAAGACCAGTCTTATGGTCCAACAAGCTTTGTAAGGTAGCAAAGCTAGAAGCAAACCGGGTAATAGATGGTCTCAAAAGTTCCTTCCCCTGCGTAAAATCACTCTTCATAAAATTTAACAACCAAACATGGTTGTAAATGAGCTTCGTAACTTTTTGGCCTGTCTCCATGCACTCTGCTACACATCTTATCCTCAAAAAATCTTCAAGCATTTGATCGATACAACTGGTGGCACATGGGGTCCAGAATAAATTCTTTCTCTTCTCCTCAAGCATCTTTCCAGCAGCTTTATAACTAGGAGTATTTGGAGTGATTACCTGGGGATTAGACGCAAAACAAAGTCAGTAGCTAGCAGATCACAGTTTGAGATGAGCAACTACATGAGAAACAAATAAAATCAAATACCTGAATTACATTTTCCTCCCCCATCTCTTCAACGACTTTGTCCAGCAACATAAACAAATTCAAAGCATCTTCAACTATTTCGGTGGCATCAACTGAAGAAACAAAGTACACACCATTTGGACTGGAAGCCAAAAAGTTTATCAATATTCTACCCTCAGCGTCTCTCCAACTGTCAGCCATGATAGAACAGCCAGTGGTTGCCCAAGATGCCTTATACTCAGCCAGGTAGTTTCTAATGGTTGCAATTTCCTCTTGTAGAAATCGACCAGATATTAATTGACTTGGAGGTGCTACCAAACCCTGCCCATATTGGCCAACCAATTCCAGCATCTTATGAAAGTATAAGGAGTCTGCTGCTTGTTGAGGAACTCCTGCATGGTAAAAGAATTTGCAAATTCCAGAAATAACTTCCTTGTGGGAAATTTTATTTGACATTGTTCTGACCCTTCCTTGCTTGTAAGATTGTGGTGGCAAACTCTTAGGAGCTGTCACGAACAGGGAATCGAGCCTTGATCTTTTAAATAATGGTTCAGAACCAGTACTGGGCAGCGACAAGAATGTATTTCTCACATTTTGGCCCAATCTCCTATCACCATCGATCAATCTTTCCTGGCTCATATGTGGCAGAACAGCTTCCATTTGGTCATCGTCTTGGTCTTCATTATCTGACAGAGGATCAAAATTTGACGTGTCCTTGGAATCAGGTTGTCTCTGTCTTCTTCCAGTACGATGCCATTTCATATTCTCTTTTATTTTAACATAGACATCGTCAGGAGCATGTTTACAAGGTGCTACTTCTCCAGGAATTCTAGCTAAATGTTGTTTAAACCGATTGATACCACCACTAACTATTTTCTCGCAATAATTGCATTTCACCTTTTTCTTTTTCTCATCCTGAGCAACGCCGTGTTCCCACCCAGGGTCAACATACCCTAACGACCGAAGAGGAGTCAATTTCATAGCTAAATTCCTCTCACCCACCAATTGCTTTCCTTTGCTTCTATAGCCAACCTGCACATCTTCTTCGTCATCATTAGATTGAAAATTCAAATATGCTTGGCCAATATCATCGGAAAGCCTAGGTTTCTTATGAGAACGACTTCCTTCCATATTTGTTTTCATACTCAAGTATACATCGTCCGGAGCTTTATCACAATAAGTAACTTCTCCAGAAACTCGGGCTAAATGTTGCTTCAATCTGTATATTCCACCACTAACTATTTTTCCACAGTAATTGCATTTAACCTTTTTCTTCCTCTCATCTTGAGCAACACCATGGTCCCATCCAGGGTCAACAAGCCCAGAGGAGCGCATTGTAGCTACCAATTCAATCCATTTAAGAATTTTTTCAAGAAACTACCCTTATCTGATTCACTCACTGTATTCTCGGCACTAACACAAGTCAACATCTTTGATCATGCGATGTTGTATGGTCCAATGACACTCGTAAAAGAGGATGTTGGTGTTTACCACAGTGAGAGTCAAGCAAAAGTAAATAGGAATCTGTAGCAGATGTATGAAAAATAAAGTTATATACTCTTTGATTAGCTTAAGGGCAACATATAGGTCAATACGAAAGCATAGCGAGCACAAACGAGAAATACATGAGATTGAGTATGAAGATAGTAAAGACGGATAACATCAAAACATAGCTGTCACGACTCTGAAACGTGCTTGCTACATCAGTACAACATCAGAAATAAACTTGTTACAAACACATAACAGGTGGTTTTAAAATGTTATTTAACTGTTCAAATGAAAACGTCCACAGAAATAAGTTCCAAAAAAAAGCTTCTGAAGCAACAAATCCAACACTTCCATGTAAATTTGTTTTTTATAGCATTTGAAGCAGCAGAACAATACTTGGAACAACCAAAAAGCTCAACAACTGTAGCAATTTATCATGGTTCAGAAAGCAAAACATTGTACATGGGTAGCAAGCTGAGATCAAACCAGAATCATCATAAAACAAAAACCACATAAAAAGTTACCAACTTTGTTACAAATTTACAATAAATCAGCACCTATAAATACCGCTTAAATTTGCTAACACCAAATGTTCAAGGTTTCAATTTCTAACAGATTAATATGAAAAGGGGATAACCTGATTCCATAAACCAGGAAAATATAATACGCATTTCTCCGAAATGTAAAATCTTGCTCAAATTTTGCGTACCTGAGTCAGAATTTCGACAAATCTGAAAGCTTTTGGATTTGGGTGAGAGAAATCTGGATTTGGGGATGATTGATACGTAAGCAAGAGGGGAAAGTTGAGGGAAGGCTAGGGTTTTTGAGGGCCGGATTGGTGGGAAAAATTAAAAATTGGGGGGAAGGAGGAAGAACGATCCGGGATCGTTCGGAATCGTGAGTCGCGAGTGGAATAGGTTCGACTCGATTGCTCGACCCGCCGATTTTTAGGGTTTCTGTTCTTTATGGTAAACATATTAATTCTGTATTTTATGTTTCACTATTTAATACAAATAATTGATTTGAGAAAAAAAATAAAAAAAATAAAAAATTGATAGCTTTTATTTTCTTTTAAAATTTTAAAAAGTTCAATAAGTGAGTGTTGAGTTTGACTCAGTGAGTGCATAATTATTCGTTCAATCGTGGCTAAAGGTCTTTTGCGGCAGTTAGAAGTGCAGTTAATTGTCCTTTTGCTTAATCAGGTTTTACAATGACACGTTGTGTGCTTTTACATTCAAATCCAATTTTTACTGTCATTGCAAACAAAATTTGATTAACCTAATGAGACAATTAAGTGGGAAATTTGTTTGATTTTATGATATGTTTGGAGTAGAGGATTCATGAATATTTTTGGGTTACTGCAAGGGCGGTAGAGAGATTGAGGAAGGAAGTTAAGATTAAGAAATTTGAATGAAATGAGAAATAAACCAAAAATGGTTGTTGGTATCGGAAAGTAAAAGAGATTTCCAATTATGCGCCACCCTACCTTACCGAGCTGTTAAATGGACAAATTGCCATAAAGTTGAAAACATATACAATAAAATAAAGGAAAACTAATGAAAAGAGCTTGAAAACTTTGAGTTTTAAGGACAAAATGAAGAGTAAAGTGAATAGTATCAGGATTGACTTTTTAGTGTAAAAATATGTTTTTTCGTTAAAATGAACAGTACCGAGAGCTTTTCGTTAAAGTTCTTTAAAATAAAATCTGCAATTTTTACCGGGGTATGTGTATATCAGTCCCCTTATGTTGAGAGATTCCTATAAGTTTATTTAAGAGATCTTTTGTTGGACCCATTATACACCGTATTTCAACGATTCAACCGTTCATCTATTAGGTATTCTCTTAAAAATTATATCTACAAAAAATCACTAAAGTTCGAAACCATTTGACTGTTGGATTAAATAGTAGTCATAATAGTTTAAAAAAAAAAAAAAACCATATTCGTCTATGTTCTTCATCACAATTGGATGTCCTTAATAGTTATGGATTTGTTTAATTTCTTGCTGATCTATAAATAATGTTCTAGAATATAAACGGTTTCGATCGTTGAAAAATGTTACGAAATATGCATCACACCGTCACCACTGTGTATATATATGTATATTCTATCAGTCTATTAGATGAACAGTATGTAGGTTGTGATATAATCTTTCCTCAAGTAAGTTGTGATGTATTTTCTTGAGAACCAGATAGCATTCCCACTTACCAGTAATCTTTACAAGAACACTCTCCCCCTTTAAAATGGTGGAAGCGATTTCTATCCCTTACGATTATTTCACGGTCGAAAACCTTTGAGATCAGCTTGCTTGCCTGGTGGCAGTCTTTGCAGACTCGTAAATTCTTCGATATACGAAGAGTTTCCCTGGGTTTTGTCTTCAACAGGCCATATGCAATTGCAAGTTTCTCACTGTGGTAGTATAAAGGGTTCTCCTTTTCCTCCTCGTCGAGGTCATGCAACACTCCCTCTGTGTCCGGAACATATCCTGCAGATCTTATACATTTCAACATTTCATCCACTTTCGAGTATATCTCTTTTGTCTGAGGATGAGACCCTCCGCCGGCAATGAATTCACTGACAGCGCCTTCCAATTCAATCATGGAAAATCCAGGAACCTTCTTCACTCCTCTGTCATTCATCAACCTCCTCACATTGGCAACATCGTCCCATCTGCCCGCATTTGCGTATAGATTGGCTAACAACACATAGCGCCCGCTATTTTCTGGTTCCAGTTCGATTACCCTCCTCCCTATTTCATCTCCCAGTTCAACATTTCCATGGATCTTACAAGCTCCGAGGAGAGCACCCAAGACACCTACATCGGGGCTCATAGGCATCTCGTTTATTAGCTTTCTTGCTTCCTCCAGCCTCCCGGCTCGTCCAAGAAGATCAACCATGCAGCCAAAATGCTCTGTTCGGGGCTCAATACCGTGGACTTCAACCATGCAGCGGAAGTACTGCTGCCCCTTTTCTACTAACCCTGAGTGAGCACATGCACTCAGAACATTAACAAAAGTAATGTTGTCGGGAGCTACCATGTCCCTTTGCATCTGCTCGAAAAGCTCAACGGCTGCCTCTCCTTTCCCGTGCATTGCTAGCCCGCCAATCATGCAATTCCATGAAGAAATCCCTTTACGGGGCAAACCATTGAAAACTTCAAAAGCCTTCTCCAGGCAGCCACATTTGCAATACATGTCAATGATCGTTGTTGCAAGTTTCGAGTCCAACTCAATCCCACTTTTCTCAATATATCCATGTATCCACTTCCCTTGTTCTAGAGCACCTAAACCAGTACAAGCTGATAACATACTAGCCGCCATGAACTTATCCAATTCTACGTTTTCCACACGCATTCTTTGAAACAAAGCAAACGCCTCATGAAAACGATCACTTTGGACATAAGAGGAAATCATTGCATTCCAAGATACAGAATTCTTCTCGGGCATCAACTCGAACATTTCAAAAGCCTCATCGACAAAGCCCCACTGGGAGTACCCAGCAATCAAAGTCGTCCAAGACACAACATCCACCCGGGGCATCTTGTCAAACACCCTTCTAGCTTCGTCCAAAGACTGAAACTTCACATACATGTGAATCAAATTGTTCTGACAAAACCCATCATCTCCAAACCCGAGTTTAACGACATGGGCATGGACTTGTTTCCCTTCTCCAACAGCACCATCAGCGCAACAAGCTCGTACAACAGACGGAAACGTGAACCTATTTGGAGTCACAAAGTCCTGCAACATCTGCGAGTACAAAACAATGCAATCTCTCGGCAATTGGTACTGCAAGTAACCTCTCATTACGGTGTTGTAAATGAATGCGTCCGGTTGAGGCATTGCGTCGAACACCTGGAGGGCATAACCCAAATCGCCATTTTTGGAGAGGGCGCAGAACTTGATGACCCGGCCCATAGCGTCGTTGTCGGCGGCGAGGCCGAGCCTGATGACTTGGGAGTGCAACTGCTTGAGCTCCGCCATGGTAGAGCATGATTCCAGGCCGCGTAACGGTGAAATGTGGGTCCTGGGCGAGCTTAGGGAGGCTGGGGTGGGACCGGTGGGTTGAAGGACTAGCAGCGAAGTCATTTGTATGTGGTGTGTGTGAGTTCTATCTCGTCGGCACCTTCTACTTTCTGTGTGTGCATCAGCGATTCAGAGATAAGATATTGTGGGGCCCAGAAATGTTTTTTCTTTTTCTACATAAAATTAGTCACAAGTACGACCAACAATTAATAATTTAACTAGGATCTTCTCCGGATCCATTTTGTAGGGATTTGAAGGATTTCTACATTCTAGTCGTTCAACATATATTGTGCGGTCAGCTTTTATCAAATACTATTTGTGTTTACTTTTAAATAAAAAAATCAAATTATTTCTGACCTCACGATATACAATGATGATTAAAATGTGAGAATTATTAAGATTCCCACAATTTGAATCCGGATAGAGTCCAATTCCATTAGTTTTATCATTTGTTAAAAAGAATTAGCTACAGGTAGACATAGTACGCATGAGCATTGTTTTCTATTTATAGGATGGTAATTTCTAGAAAAAGAATTCGAATTTATTATAAAACGACATATATTTTTTTTTGACTAACCTAAATCACACTTATATAAAACGGTTAATTATATTAGCATGCCAAGAACTTTTTATTTTTATTTTTATGAGTATAACGATATATTTTACATTAAGGAGATGGAGAAGTTTAGTTAAGCCACACAATGACAACTTATTTAGTAATTGTTAATTTTGGAACTATTTGAAAAACTTCGAAGACAAGAAAAAGGGCAAAAATGTTTGGTAGGATTAAATAATCATCACAACGAGTGTAGACTACATGTGATCAGGTGAGATCAAAATATATTCAACTTCTAAAAGCCTCACATACGTAGATTTTGACTTGAAGGTCAACTAATACTGGATATATATCTACCTCTAAATATATGGTGCATGCTATATTAAAGGGGGAGTAAGATAGTGATCTCATTTTTGTATTTTTTGACATCTCATGAAGATTGACGTCCTCCAACAAAGCAGGAACTCCTTCCGGACCAACTAATTTAACTGCCTCTTAACCACCATCCCATATCATGGGAATTCTAGTCCTAAGGCCTTAAAAGTCACCCCCTAAATTTGGGCACTCCACAATGCATGCACATATAAGAACTCCATCTCCATGCTTTCAAAGCTTCATCTTCTCTATCCCCATCACCCAAATTTTGATCTTTTCTCGTCGAAAATCGCGTGTCAGAAACCTAATCTATGGAGAAGAGAGGAAAGCTGGTGGTAGGAGGAGTTTCCATCATCCTTATCGTCGGCGTGGTGATCGGCCTTGTAGCTGTAGTTTGCACAAAAAAGAGTAACAAGGACCAACTTTCCACAAGTTCTAAGGCCGTTGCTGCTATTTGTGATCCTACGGATTACAAAGAGGCATGCATCGACAGCCTTGGATCCGTCGCGAAAAATGATAGCGCCACGCCCAAAGACCTCATCCAGGCCGCCATTGATTCCACAATTAAAACCGTAAAGTCTGCGATAGAGAACTCTAACAGCATTGCCAAATCCTTTAAAGCGATCAACTCGACGGGTAAAATGGCGATGGACGATTGCAAGGACTTGTTGGAATCGGCAATTGCCGATCTCCAAGCCTCTTTTTCGTTCGTTGGGGATAGCAACATGCACACAATGCACGACAGAGAGGAAGAGCTGCGGAATTGGTTCAGCGCGGTGATATCGTTCCAACAATCGTGCCTTGACGGCATTCCTCAGGAGGAGCTCCAAAAGCTCATGAAAGATAGCCTTCTCAACGCCACACAGCTAACCAGCAATGCCTTGGCAATTGCCACATCAATTGCACAAATCTTAGAGAACTTCAACATCACATTGAACAAAGACTTAAGGCCAACGAGCAGCTCGCGGATCCTTGAGCAAGAAAACGATGGGCATGGCCAGTATCCTAGTTGGTTTCCGGCCGCGGACAGGCGGCTGTTGGCAAAACAAGACAATGGAGGGGTTAAACCTAATGCCGTAGTGGCGAAGGACGGGAGTGGACAGTTTAAGACCATTGGTGCTGCCCTTGCTGCATATCCAAAGGGGCTTCAAGGAAGATATATCATATATGTGAAGGCTGGGGTTTACAATGAGTATGTTACTGTCACCAAAAATCAGGTCAATGTGTTCATGTATGGAGACGGACCCCGGAAGACCATGGTCACCGGAAGTAAAAGCTTTGCCGATGGCATCACCACTCAGAACACCGCCACATTCGGTGAGTCATCTGTTAGATATTATCGCTACTACTAGGGTTACCAAATGTGTTCACTAAATGCGACATATGTACTTACAATATAGAAAGGCTTGTAATAATTTTTTTAATGTAATCACAGCTGCAATTGGAAACGGATTTCTAGCAAAGGGGATGGGGTTTCAGAACACGGCAGGCGCCCAGAAGCATCAGGCTGTGGCACTGCGAGTCCAGTCGGAGATGTCAGCCTTCTTCAACTGCAGAATGGACGCCTACCAAGACACGTTGTACGCGCAAACACATCGCCAATTCTATCGAAACTGTGTCATTTCTGGCACAGTTGACTTCATCTTTGGTGACTCGCCAACGCTGATCCAAAATTCTTTGATCATAGTGAGGAAGCCTATGGACAACCAAAAGAACACAGTGACGGCTCAGGGAAGAGAGGACAGGAGGGAAAACACCGCCATTGTCATCCAGAACTGCAGAATAGTCCCTGAGGAGGTTCTGTTCCCATTAAGGTTCAAGATTCCGTCATACTTAGGCAGGCCATGGAAGACGTATGCAAGGACGGTGATCATGGAGTCGGAGCTCGGAGACTTCATACAACCAGCAGGGTGGCTACCCTGGAGTGGCAACTTTGCACTCGATACTCTATATTACGCAGAGTATGGGAATCGGGGTCCGGGGGCTGCGACCAACCAAAGGGTGAGATGGAAGGGATATCATGTGATTAACAGAAATGACGCTGTCCAGTTCACCGCCGGTCCATTTCTATTGGCGGATCGGTGGTTGAAAACCACCGGCATACCGTACTTTGCCGGTTTGAAAACCTAGCTCTTTCACGAGATCTCACTTCAAACTAACACCTGTTTGATTTAAATTGATGGAAGGATGGCGCTGTTGATTGTCACCCCACCTAGTGATAACAGGTAGGAGAAAAGAAGCCCTTTTGTCTCTGCATTTTTTTTCTTCACATTTTACTGTATGTATTTGAACAGTTTTTTTTATTAACTTTTTGTATAGAATGTAATCTCACAGTAAAATCCTCTCTTACAGTTTTCTTCCGCACTCTTAAGAAATTTTATGATCCTTTTCAACTGCTATAGGCAGAGTACATTGTGTTTTTTGAGTACAACGCTATAGTTTACACTAAGGAGATGAGGGAGTTCGACAAAGTCACACAATTGGCAACATAAGTTGGTATCGAATTCACCATTCACGAGATTCGAACCCAAGCCTCTCACTTACAAGTAAAGACAATTACCACCAGACCGTAGTACTAAGTGGCATGCAGAGTACATTGTGTTTGTTTTCCCTTCTTTTTGTCTTTTGGTGAAAACAATGCCAAAAGGGAAGAGAAATTTTAACTCTTAAGTCTTAACTTGGGAAGCGAAAAAGATTTACCTACACAACCGATACGTCACCGTGGCATCTAAGATAAATACAAGTATTCGTTGATCCCTAGAATCCCCAAGGAGGGGATCCGACGAGGATCCAAATCCTATCATGTCTTGAAAAAGACTTACCTACACCACTAGTAGTCTAGTAGGTCACCGTGGCATCTAGGACAAAAGGACAATTACAGCGATGTCATGTGATCTTCGAACATGAGTTGCTTTTATGTTGAGTCAAAGTGGGATGTTCAAGAAACGAAAAATGATTGCCCTATTTTGTATGTCATCAAACCCATCGGACGGGTGGTTTCACCAAAATTAAAAGCCGGTCGCATTCATGGGCATCTTTTCTCGTTTCTTTTTCTTCTCAAAACATTGGCACGAAGAAATGCCTTTCCTTTCCCCGATCGAAAATCTATGTTAGTAAACTTGACATCTCAACAAAAAAACCATCTTCTTTTTTGATTTCTTTTACCGTTGTTTTGGTGGTGCCGGGAAGGCCGAATACACGAAACAGAAAAGTGATCGGAAGATGAGAACGGTGTTCCGAGGGGCAGATGACAGAGGAACATACAATACGATGGAAACCGGGGAAGAAAATAGTTCATAGCACAACAAATACGAGAGAAGGTTAAATAAACTTGAATTTCGAACAATCAGACGTGTAAAAACGACCATTAGGTCAAGTCATAGAGGAATGGCACTGAATTACAAGGTAGGTTTGAGCTTTTACAAGACAAATGGGTTTTGCAACCTTGAAGTTGGCACCAACAAAATGAACAAGAAAAAAGAAAAGAGTTTTTCGATATCAAAACGAGTCTGAAGAATCAATTCAAACCATAGCAGAATTACTTTGAAAACAAGCCGACGTCGTAAAACAACCTGATGTCTTTCAGGAAATCACACACCATGTCAAATGACACTCATAACAAAACATTAGAAAGAAAACGGCAAAACCGGCAAAGATGTAAGGAACGAGAAAAGGACACATTGGTAGCCAGTGAATTGATGAAACACCGGCTCTCAAGTCCTAAGAAACATGTCAACTTTCTAGTATCTCCTTAAAAAGCGTTGAAAATCCGGACACAATACATTAGCACACAGCAAGCAAGGTCATCACACAAACTGGATTGGATAAAGCTTAATGAACCACAAAATTTCGCTTTTGAAATTGGAAAAATGCAGTTTCTGAGCATGAAAAGGAAGAACAATGTAGATACAGAGAGGCACAGAGAATCGTCACCACATCGAAATTCAGCTACACAAAACTGTATGGAAAAGTAAATACGAGTACACAACAACAATCTGATCTACGAGATCTCCCTAAAAGTTTCCAGGCTGCTGCACATAAATTACGAAAAAGAACCAACTGCAACTAACAGAGAGACTCACAGGTTGAGAGAGGCTGTGTAGCAGCTCAAGCGGAAGCCGAAGAGCTGAAAGGAAACCCATGAACTCATCAAGCTCAAAATCCTTCCCTTGATTTGAGATCATTCTTCCATGGCGTCAACATTACTGATTTTTAATCGATCACCAACCAACCCATTACTTCCCTCAGCCTTAACAATCTTGGGCGCCGCTGGAATTCCACCAGAACTCTCCAATTTCGGCTTCCCGTTGAGGCTCTCAGGCCCCGAAACATCTCCAGCTTTCGAATCCTGCTGCTTCTGCTTGTTAACAAGAGAACTGAGTTTCTCCAATGCCTCCCTCGCCTTCTTCTTCGCCAACACGGCCTCCCTGACGCGGCGCTCGGAGTCGGTCCTGGCCAAGATGGCGGCTTTCGCCATTGAAGCCGCCGCAATTTTGGCGGCGGCGACGAGGGCCTTGGCGTTGGCCTTGTCGATGACGAATGCCGTTTTGGCGTCGTTGGCGTCGTTTTGGGGGCGATTGAGGGTGAAGAAGGGGTAGCCCTGTGGGCAGGTACGGCACTCGAAGCCATGGAAGGAGGAATTAGCGACGAGGACGCAGGCGGAGTGAGAAACGGAAGGGCACTTGACGCACATGACACGGTCACGTGCCGGAAGCGGTTGGTCGAAGAAGTCGAGACAGAGAGGGCAGTAGAGGTCTCGGTAGTTTTGGAGGACGCAGTTGGTGCAGAGCCTCTGAAACGCCCCTTTGTGACGGATGTAGTGGAGGAACCACCGTTCGGAGAAGCCGCAGACGCCGCAGAGTCGCCTCTCGAGTTCTGGTTCGTCTCGCCTCATTGCCATTGGACTCGCATTTGCGGGTGGGGGATTGGATTGGACTGGATTATTGGTTAACGGTAACCCTAGGGTTCGAGGAAGGGGGAGAGGGAAGACGGGAGGTGGATTTTAGGGTTTTTTTGGGGTGCGAATTGGTGTTTGGTGGTGAGGAGATTGTTCATAGTCGAGCGTTTGACAAGTCTACGAGCGTTCGACACTTGACGGTTTGCGTTTGAATTGAATGCAAATTTTGGCAAAACGCCAAAAGCCGAACTCCTTTCTGTTTTCCTCTCTTTCTTTTAAAGCCCATCTGCACAGCAAAATCAATTTTTCCATTTTGGACTCGATCGCAATCGCATTGATTAGAACGAATGTAATCAATTGTACACTTGAGTTTAACTAATTTTCATGCAATATAAATTAGTTTAAAGTAGAATATCGTTCAACCAACCTACCACTTTGAACAAGCAATGCATAAGTCCGACGATGTGAAAGTGCGATCGCACGAAATGCAACACTGCCGCGTTGAATAAAAACCGATCTATAGGGGAATGGAATACAAAATTTTCAAGTCGCCACATTTATTTGAAAGCATGGTTCCAACATCAAAAACATTTGTGGGTCACTACTCAATTCTGAGGTTGAAATGAACTCAATTATAGTATTACAACCTCTGCGCCTGCATATTCCTATACCAAAAATCAACTTCAAATGAAACAAATCAACGGCCTCTAATAGGTCACGATAGCAATGTAGTCGATTGGGCATAACTCAACAACCTAGTACCTTGTGCAATTTCAAGTTCAGCTACTTGTTAATCTGCCACCATGAACGGATCTACTTCTCCGAGATCAGCAACTAGTGGTTCTAACTTGGATGGATCCTCATCCTCTGAAGCAAAATAAGTTGGAAATGGTAGCGATGAAACATCAGGTTTCTTGTAGAAAGCATCTCTTATGAAAACAAAGTTTCCTTCAGCACCCGGGACCTGTGAGAATAGTCAACATCTAATTGAGTAACGTGAAACCGGAATTAACAACACAACATACAGACTCCAGAAGAGGATTAGGACCCATTACTGTATCGATTTTAAACTCTGCAGTTGCGAATGTGTATCAGCAAATTCATTAAACCAACCAATATTATCTACCCAGCTCAAAACCTTTCATTAATATCATTATACATTTCCTCCTCAACATTCTGAACAATTCGGGAACATATTAAGCTCACAAATTATTGTTGAATAAGGTTCAAAGTGCACAAACTTAAGAAAAGAAAAGTGTGAGGAGTCATACTTGGCCTTTCACCCACATCAAATTCCTTGCAGGATCAATTTTGTAGACCCATACATTTTTCACCGTTCTCTGTTTCCCACCCATGCGCCCTGGCATTTTTCTGCCTTTAAAGACCTGTTCATACAACAAATGATGTCACAGTTGCAATTTATAATTATTGGAAACCATATGCATTTTACAGATAAAGAGAAAATATAAACAGGTAAACCAATATATGTATTAGATATATAGCATGTCCACGAATAAACAAAAAGTAATGTTATTTAGACACAAAACTAACACACTTGTTGACACGTTCTCTAATATAAGGTGGGTCTTGCGTACAATGTAGGGCGCCCGTCTATTAGAAAGCGTGTCGCTTGTGTGTGCTCAAATAGAATTATGGATTAAACAAATAAGCAACAGATTATTTGACTAAATTAAGTCATCTTCATTAGAAGCAAAGAGAAAAGTTCGGTCATAGAGATCCCAAAAGAGCTTGTCAGAATAGTTTATGGAGAATTGTAAGCCATACAAACCTTTCCAGCATCATCTCTCTGACCTGTAGAACCAATACTTCGGTGTGACAGAGATGCGCCATGGGATGCTGGCATACCACTAAAACCGTGCCTTTTCATTCCACCCTGGGCACAGAAAATAAAAATGATACATAATGTTTCATAACCTCACAAAAGTGTTCCTGTTATCACCATCATAAAAAAAAAAATTTTGAGAAACACAGTTGCATAATTCGTTGATTAATTCAATTAAAAAGATTTCCATTTTTTCTTGTTCTTGAAACAGCGTACACAACCACAGGTGAAGATAAAGAAATTAGTTCACCTGGAAACCTTTCCCTCGCGTGATTCCTGTGACATCAACATATTGGCCTGGTACAAAATGGCGAACACCAATTTCCATACCAATAGGAAGAAGCGCATCATTTGATACAGGAAACTCATGCAATTTCCTCTTAAGTGGAACACCCTGAGCTCGGAAATGACCCACCTCTGGCTTTGTCAAATGTTTTGCTTTCTTCTGTCCGCAACCAATCTAACTAGCACCACAACAGAATGCCATCCTATAATTAAACCCGTGACTTTGGAATTTTTTTCAAATAATAAAATTACCATCTGTTTAGTGGCCAAGAAAAATCAAAGTGATCAATATTGGACAAACCAAACAAAACCCAGATGCAAGTATCAAAATTACCCTTTGTTCGGTTCCACTCAATCTAAATAACGAATAACAGCAGGAAAACAAATCCCAACTGATGTTCTCTTGGTGGGAAAAAATTTCGGAACTTATCAGTTTCCATTCCTCTAAACCCCTACTAACAAGACCTTTCATGCCCAGCAAAGCAATGCATATGGTTTCAAACTGTAAATCGCAACTGAAGCTACCCGATACTAAGGCCAAGCTGATCTACTTAAGGTTAAATTGCCTAGTAGTCCAGCCTCAAGACAGACTTTTGCAGATATTAAACAGCAAAACGCAACTTCTATCGGTTCAATTGTATACACCGTAACGAAATTATAAAACTTTAGAAACGCACTACCATATTCGTCTCTCAAAAATTCCAGAAAAAAAAAAATCTAAACTTCGAAAATTTCATAACCAAACAAAATCGAATCGAATCGAATTCGGGACGAACAGAGCCAAATGAAGAGAAAAAAGGTTACCTGGAGAGCAGGGAAGCCTTCCTTCTCGGGGGTCTTGACCTGAGAGACGATATTATCATCGACCCAGAGCACAGTTATCGGAACCCTAGCGCCCCATTTGTCCCAGAGCGCAGTCATCCCGCACTTGACGGCTATAAGCCCGGTCCTCTTCGAACCCGGGCTCATCGGCCCTGGCTTCGCTTCGATAACCGGTCTCCTGTCCGCGACGGCCTCCGTCGCATCCACCGTGGCCTCAGAGCTGAACCATCTGAAGAAATGGCACTGAGTCTGCGTAAACGACGTCGTAGCATTAGCGGCAGCAGTAGGAGGAGAAGAAGAAGAGGAGGGGTTGAGTGAGAGAAGGCGGAGGCGGGAAATGAGGCCTCTCGATAGCGCCGACATGGCTGCCGTGAAATCTGAAGAATGTTTAATGGGGTAATGGGTTTGATGGCATGGCGGTGTAAAACCCCGGAAGGAGGTTGCAGCGATCGCAATGGGGATTTGGAGCAGTAGGGTTTAGGACTTTAGGAAGAGAGAGAGATGATGTTTCTGCTCTATGCTCCATCACTCTGTTAAACGGTGTCGTTTAGGTCGAAATAGAAATTGGCCCCTGTGGTTGGGACGAATTTCAGTTTGGTCTCAATAGTTTCAATTGTCGCAATTAAAATTCTAGAATTTTATGATCGTCACCAATTTAAAAATAATGACTTAAGTCTTGCGTTGATCTTCTCTTTTTCACGAAATTAGGAATTGAGAAGTGTATACAGAGATCGATGGAGATTTAGCTCCACCCCCGTTTTGTGGATTTATCTTTCTAATGCATTGGCGATAAGAAATTGTTATATTGATAATTAAATATACCCTTTAAACTTTTTTGACATGTTTGACTAGAATGGAGATTGTAGGTTAAATATTGAGAAACTTAGGTCATCTGCAACCGAAGGGTTCAGAGGGTCAAATGGCCGAAAATAGCTTAAAAACCGTCTCCAACCGAGAGCTGGGCCAGATGGCTTGTGGGCCCCACGGAATCTAAAAGGGCCAGAAATTCAAAAAATCATATCGGATATAACTGACATGAATGCTTAAACAAAAATTTGAATCCAACGGCTAGTCCTATGACTATGACTAGCCGTTGTATTAAAAAAAAAATTTATAATGAATTTAAACTTTTTTTTCTTCCTATAAATACATAAGTCATTCCTACACAATTTCTAACATAATTTTCACCATTCCATACTATCTCATTTCATTCTATTTTTTTTCCTATAACTTCTATTTTACATCATTTTTTTTTTAAATTCCATTTTTTTCCTATAACTTCTATTTTACAAAATTTGTTGCATATTTTATTTTTTTACAAAATTTTACATAATTTGTTTCACTTAGTGGTTGGATTTGAATTTAAGTTGTAGTTTTTAAATAATAAATTATGTTTAGCCCTATGACCATTTGGCCCCTGGTTGGAGACGGTTTTTTTTGTAATAGGGCTAAAACGAGCCCTATGGCCCTGAATAAAGGCAAATATAGCCATGTACTGATCATTAAAATATTAATTTCTTGAAGGGCCAGATGGCTAAAACGAGCCTTCGGTTGGAGATGGCCTTACGAAGGTGATGGAAAAGCTTGGTGCCCCAGGGGATGATGCAGCTCCTTGATGCAAATAGTGATGGTTCACTTGGCTCAGATAAGTTTGATTTGTTGCAGACCATCAGGTACAAACCTTTTCTTTTTCAATCTGTGGACCTTCAGTTTCTTGTTTTGCAAGAAACCACTGACAGGTTTGAGTGAATTTGATTGTTGTAGATGGTGCAATTTCCATACTTGAATGCATGTAATGACACACCATTTACTCTTTCTATAAACCCTAATGCTTCGCTTGGTTTCTCGAAAATTTTTGGAAATTGAAACTAAGAATTTGGAGAGGAGGGAAAGAGAGGCTTACGTACGTGATCGGCCGCGAGTGACTAAGCCGGTTTATTGAAGAGAATTCGGAGGAGAATTTTGAAAGCCGACAACGTCGTTAAGGTAAAGCTAAGGAAGGTGAACCGTCGTGCAATTTTGTTTTTTCCTTTCTGGGTCACACCTGCCAACAACGATGTTTTGGCATGCCACGATGCGAGGGTTAACATGCCAAAGTACAAGAAAAATGCATGTCATGGCTTGTCTTGACACGGTAACCCTCGCATCGTGGCACGTCAAAACATCAATGTTGGGCACGACATGACAAGCGTTCAAATTGTCGGCACAATGCATATCATGACACTCACATGCATTATGTTGACAATTTGCGAGACTTGTTACGGCACGCCACAGTGAAGGGTTAGCGTGTCAAGACAAGTCATTACACGCCATGTATTTTTCTAACACTTTACCTACTATTTCAGAAATCTAGGAAATATATGAAGCGTTCTTACTGGTAAGAACCTTCGCAAATATTCAGCTTCAATTATGAATGTGTTCTTATGGGTAAGAGGCTGTATAAATATTCAGCTAAGATATTGATTATTGAACTTGTTCTTATTGGTAAGAAGTTGTGTAAATATTCAGCTCAGATACAATGAGGCCATGAAGATTTACGCGCCATTAGTTCATGCTGTCGGGACCAAATTGTTGTCATTGTAGCTGGAGGATCTCTCGTTTCAACAATTGTCTCCACATTTCCCATGCACATTACTTGTTAAAGACATCAATTTTATGATCCAAATCTTTATTATTTTTCTCAACAGACTGAATTTATGCGTAATTCGGAAGAACAGAGACGAGCAGTACAAGACCGTGTGAATAAGAAGCGTCAAACTGCAGACAACAGCAGACAAATGCAGCAGTTTGATCCAGGTACACGGTGAAGATCTTGGCAGCAGCCTTGCAAGTTGGATTTTCTTGCACCTGGCTGAAGACTTGTAGTAACCCTATCATTCACCACGGAAATAGATTATTTCAACACTACGTAGAGTTATCTTTTTTTACCCAGGTTAAAGGGCTTGGAGCATACGAAACGAAGCTGCAAGCAAGGCGGAGCCAAGTTAAGGGCTACCCTGGGCTGTAGCCCAGGTAGCTTGTGGTGAAAAATAAAATTTTACATATAATTCTGATTGATTTTCGAATGTAGCCCACCAAATATTTAGTCGCTAATTCGAATTCTCTAGGTTTAACTATATAAAATAATATAATACAGTATGCAAACCATCTATTTTTCTTACATTATTTTTCTCATTGCTTCTTCTACATGTACAAATTTGGATTTGTTTAATTTTAACACGTTTTTGGCTCAGGGTGTGAATTTTGTTTAAGCTAGCTGATACTATGAGAAATAGGGTATCAAGTTTCTTTATTTAAAAAGATTTAAAATTTTAAACTAGCCCACTCGATAAAAAATTCCTAGCTCCGCTATTGCAAGTGCTAGAGTTAAGGGTGGAGAAAGTGACTAGTGAATTTCACACTCCCGTTTTCTCCTTCTGCACTCCTCCCCTTGTTTATGTCGCTTGATGCTCTTGATTCTTCAATCCAAGTCATAGAAGAAGAAAGAAAAAAAAACTAGTACGTGGAGGAAAAAAAGGGGGAGTGCGGAAATCACTTCGTGAGGGTTAAACTACATAGCTGGAACTGCGGACTCTTAACAAGGATGTTTTTCTTGCAATCTGAATCATATTTCACATTAATTTACTTGAGTCTTACAAAGTAACACTAAACATTACATCCAAAAATGAAAATCTACATGAAAATGTAATATATGGATTCTATATCTACATATATATCTATATCTATATATACATTTCTAATCACTCAGCTAGTCAGCAACTCTTGGCTTGAGGGAACACCTAAATCATTTGAAAGCTTTTTACACAACTGCACATACCCAAAAACTGGATTTAATGCCTGACATACAAGAGATCGAAGGGGCGTAATGTAAATTTATGCGAGAGAGAGAGAGAGAGAGAGAGAGAGAGAGAGAGAGAGAGTACATACCTGTCTATATGCAGAAGAATCACCACATGATTTTCTCAACTCTACTACAAATAAAGATGGGCTTATCTCAAACACCTGATACAATTATGGAGACAATTGTCAGTTAATTTTCACGTAAAAATGTAAATATTTGTGATTAGAAATTAATTAAGAATTTCAAATGCGTGCCGGGTAAAAATATTGTTTGAGGAAGAAGTTCCTCCAAAAGTTTGGAAATGAAATTGACCTCTGCTGCAACTGATAGACTGCACGCACTTCTCTCCCCCTTGTGTTCTTCCATCACTTTCAACTGAAATATCGGACAAAACATATAACGATATTTCAGTCGATATTTTACAATGAAACCAACAAAATTTGTACCGTTTTATATAATTGAAACAAAATTAGTTTCAGATTTGTGTAGAACAAGGGGGTATACACAATACTAACCCTTCCATTTTTCTTCTGGACACAATATCCCATCTCCAATACAATTTCTTCGATTTTCTCGAGCAAATCTTTAGCAGAGTGGTTCGACGTAAATCTAATCTTCCTCTCAGACACATCCTAAATTAACTCATACAGAATGCAGATATCGCGATCAGATATAATCTAGAACTTTCATCTTCAGTAGAAAATCGATACATTCAATGCCAAACTAGAAGATAAAATCATTTTCTCCTCACCTCTTTCTCAAAGAAGCCGGAGAGGTCTAGACATGAGGACATTCCGATCAACTGAAAGGCATTGATATGCGTGTATGGGTGCTGGGCGTCTGGACTCCTCTCCTCCTCAGATGGCTATACCAAAAGAAATAACACCCAGTTATAGCACAGAGAAAAAAAGATAGTTGCACCAAAAGAGTAGACAATGGATATGTATTGCGAATTCATACCACTTCATGTATTGAGAAAGCTTCATCATCGACGTTTTTATCTTCTTCTTCTTCATCAGGATTTACAGGAGAGTAATCCTGCTTGAACCATTCGTCTGGCTTGATGCCAGTCATTGTTATTCTGGTAGCAGGGTTGGGATCGAGAATCCTCTTGAGCAAGTTTTTTGCACCGGGTGATAACCATTTCGGTATCGAAGTTTCGCCCTTTAAGATCTGTAATCCCTCTTGAAATCTTAGCATCAAATCGAAGGAATGCAAATAATAAAAGTTCCTCACACAACAGAAGAAAGATTCGAAGAGAATTTGTCGATACCTTCTGATAGAGAACTGCAAGATTTCTATCATCGAAAGGGAGAAATCCGGTGAGAATGACGTATAAGATGACACCACATGACCATACATCGGAGGTGGCACCATCATAACCTTTGTTAGCAAGAATCTCGGGAGCAACATAGTTGGGGCTTCCACAGGTTGTATGAAGCAAACCATCTTCCTGATATTTCAGAAACAATCAAAGGGTTAAATTACTCATACTCAACGCGGAATTTAACAGTTCAAAGTTCGGTTTGGAAGAGTAATGTACCCGAAAATCCTGGGGCAAAGCGCTAAGGCCAAAGTCCGATATCTTTATGTTCCCCTTAGCATCGACAAGAACATTCTCCAGCTGCAACCAGAACATACAACGTTTGAAACGTGCGCGCAAACTGGAACACACAATGCAGTTTGGACCTTATCATAAAAATTAATGTTTGGAAAATGCAGGAAGTACCTTAAGATCCCGATGGGAGACGCCTTTGTTGTGACAGTAGCTCACACCGTCGATTAATTGTTGGAAAAGCTTCCTGCCTTCGGTCTCTGTAAGTTTTCCGTTGTGTGCCTGCAGCACAGAGTGACATATTAGTATAATCACAACATACAGAGTAACTCGTATGTTTTCCGTTAAGTGCACGTTTGATAACCATTTTGTCTTTGTTAAAGGCTGCTTAAAGTAAGAGATCCTTACAATTTTGTCAAACAATTCGCCGCCAGTAACATATTCGAGGACCATGTAAATCTTGGTTTTGCTTGCTACAACCTTCATGATAAACATGATTTCATGTGAGGAGTCATTCCTTTTTGCAGATAAATCCCAGTGCGATATATATGGACAAAAAAAAATCATTTTAGTCATTTTAATGAGTTAGTTTTGCATACATGTCAGACTGCATTTCCTCTTTTCTAAAAGACAAAGCGAGTGGTTGTGTAATTGTATAAGAATCAATACTATATATAAACTATTAGTCTAGCGGCAGTGTTGGAAGAGGTTCAAGAGTTCGAATTACTCCTTCCCATTCATAAAGGATAAAGGAACACTTTGTCAAATTACTCTCTTCATTTATAGTCGTGTGTGAGACACCTACGTTTTCTTCGAAGGCTAATTCTACCCTCATACAGTCATCACCATCACGCTAAAAATTCTCACCTTCCATTCTTTTTCTTAGTAAAAATCATTTATTTATTCTAATTTACTATATCATTTCTGTCTTGATTAGTCTTAAACTAAACATGAAGACATTTTCCCTAAACAATTGCATAGGATGATTATTACACATCCTAAGATTAATTTACAAAAACCCTAGTGGATAATAAAAATTATTTTTAAAGTACTTAATGAATATACCCAAGTCACTTGGTCTGATCATTTTCGTTTGAATTTTAAGAGAAAACTAATAAAAATCTTCCACAAAACATTTTTTCATCGAAAAACACCTTTGTATTAAGGATACTTTTTTGTGTTATATCGACAAAAAACAAAGAGTGACAGATAATTTTGTAATTAAAAAAAATCCTTCATAATAAAAAAAATGATAATAAAAAAAAATTCTGAATGATAAACAAAATTGTCTACTTTTGAATAAAAAATGTTTTGCATAGAAGTTTTTATTAATTTTCTATAATTTTAATGGTGACAACAAATAGAAAAAAGGTGTGGCCTAACATCGAGCTTCAGGGACCTTATCCACCAAAATGCTTTCATGTGGGACCGCATTCTAAAACTCTGACAAGCTAACAATATGGACACGTGGCTCGAATGGACGGGTTGGGGTTTCAGGTCGGATTTTGATCTCATTCGGACCAAAGTGGAAATTTTAGAAATCTTCATATTTTAACTATTTATCGTATATTATATGATCATAAATTATTTTAAATTAAATATAAATAATATCTAACGAAAATTAATTATACAATATGCAATAAACAATCATGATATGAGAATCTCTAAAATCTTTACAAATAGAATCTAGAGAGGATCCTCATCCTTCCAGGTCAGTCCATGCAAAAACTGCCGCAGCGAGGTGGGGATGATAACAGTGGACACGTGGCCTTAATGGACTGGTTGATGAAGACTTGTCCGTGGGAAATATCCCAACTGTCCAAGTTTTCATTTCAGCCAAGAAAATGTTTCTCGGCTGATGTGCACTCAGGTTTCATTTTATTTTATTTTATACGATCATAATTAAATCACGTTAATATTTTATATTAATTTTTTTTATAAAGATAATAAGATAAAAAGTAATAGTAATATAAAATGTTGACGTGATTTAACCATGACCGCACAAATAAGAGGGAATGAGAATGTATGAGAAGTAGGAAGGCAGAGAAGTCAGGTCCGGTTTCAATACTCTCCTAATGAACACTAATTAATATCTCTTAGTACTACGATCTAATCATATTCCTCTTCATTTTAAGTGAGAAGTCTTAAGTTTCGATTTTCGTCAAAAATGAATTTGAACTATATTATTGCTAGTCTATTGTGAGGCTAAGCACATCCCTTTCCCTTAATATAGATAATATTGTTTGTTAAAAAAACTAATTACTATTTGAATTCTAAAAATTAACAAATTCTTTGATGACACTTATTGCGATTAGAACAAACAAAAAACTAACACGATCATTCTTATATATGTTAACAAAACATATAAACATGTACAATTTGTGATTTAAATTGACAGTCCAAAAAAATAACATACTAAAAATGATAATCTTAAATGTGAATGATACATGTTATTTGGAATGCAGTCCATTTGGTTACCTACTAATACTATTTTAAACCCGTACAGGGCCAGCTAAAGTAAAATCAATAATCCTACACATGGACTCATGATTTGGTGCAACTATTAAAGCATTAGTGCGCTGTAAATCCCAAATTATGGAGGCTTAGAGATTATGTTAATAATGATTAAGTATCAATCATTGATCAGACAGTAATAATTCCAACAAGATCATTTCCAGATATTTTTTGTGAGGATCTTAAAAATCTCTTAATCATGTTCATTCATCGTATATTGTAGGTTAATTTTTATCAAGTACTGTTTGTGTTTAATTTGAAATAAAAATATTTAAAATAATTTCTAACCACATGATGTACGATGAACATATAAGATTGATGGACCTTTAAGATCCTCACAAAAGAATCCGGCGCAGCATCCATTCGTAATAATTGACATAGAACAGAAGAACATTGTCATACCTCATGTAATCTGACAACGTTTGGATGCTTCAGTAGTTTCAATGTTCCAATCTCATTCTTTATCTGCAAATTTTCAGTTGTGTTAAATTGTTAATGTGTTGTTCAAATTTGAAACAAACCAACCTCGGAAATAAAACGCAGTTGTGAGTTAGGTTGACAGCGTGACCCGTCAACCAACACCTTACACCTGAGTTCGATCCTTTCTATGTAGATCAGAGTAGTTTGAAATTTACGAGCACAACCCAGAAATCCCATTAACGAAAAGATTAAAACTTCGAACAAAAATTAAGATTAAAAGGAAAAAACAAGAACCTGGTCGGTGAATTTAAGGTCAATAATTTTGGTCTTCTCCAGAATCTTAACGGCAAAGGACTGGCCGGACTCGACGTTCTTAGCAAATTTGACTTTCCCGAAATTACCCTCGCCAAGTGTCCTTCCGAGCTCGTATTTCCCCAGTCGCATTCCCTTGTTACTGTAATTTCGACTGTTGCTCACGATCACCATGCAATCACACGCCTCCTCTGTTGTTTCTGCGCAGAGGAGTTGCAGAAAAATCTCCTCAGAAAACAAAAAACGAGTTTTTGAGAATTGTTTCGAGAAACGATCAATTCCAAAACGCAAGGCGGAGAGGAAGCTAAAAACGAAGCAAAAGTCAAAAGTCCAAATGGGCAGAAACAGACGCGTATTTGGAAAGTTTTTGGAAACGATCTCTCTCTGCGTTGGAGTTGTATATTTTATATAAAAAGGGGGATGAATTATGAGAAGGGAAGTTGAGTTTCTAAATAATTGGAGGAGGCCATTGGAGGAGTCTTGTATTTATGCAGATTGGCAGTTTATACAACGCATTGTGTGGGATAAAAAGCCAGAGGGGTAGGGGAGTTGAACTGTAATTATGGTGGAGACCCTCGTAAAAATATGTAAAACTAGTTGTAATGTCCCATATAAAATACATTTTGACAGTGAGAAATCTTCCAATTGTCCGGTAGTCAAGCGGGTATTTCACGTGTTAAAAAATAAATCAAGGGATACGGAAAAAAATATCATTTTCCTTACTTTTATTATAACATGATATGAAGTATTGCTTAAATATTCGTTGCTTAGAAAAATCTCTCACTCACGAGAGAAAATATTATTTAAGAGTGATACATCAACAATATGTAGAAAACAAAGGTGGACAAGAGAATTTTTTTACTCGAATATACATCCTACATGGTATCAAATTCATGGATATCTAACTAATATTTTTATCTTTTATCCTATTGTATGAATCTAACCAAAATCTTTATAGCAGTAGTATAATTTGGTGATATCTTTTTTATTTAAGTGTAATGTTTTAAATTTGAATCTTATAAATGACAACGTCGGTACCAAATTATTTGTGTTAATCATCTTTCTCATAATTCCATCCATGAAAAATACTTTTATAGCACAAGTACATCGTCAAAGTAATATCACGTGTCAATATTACAATGACATGTAATCATTAAGCTCGTTTGAATGTACTTTTAAAATGACTGAAAATGATTCTGGCGAAAATGTTTTTGGAACCAATTTTTAGTAAAAATGCAAGTAAATTTAAAAAAAAACACTTAAAGTGCTTCACGGAAGAAGCACATAACTAGTGACACACCCCGATCCTAGAATCAAGGCGTGCTGGCCGTCACGTGAGCGTGATGTAGGCAAAAGTGCGACACGGAAGCAAGAGATAAGAGAAATATGAAGGAATTTAAACCAACCACTAGCAGTAATAACCTACTAGCAAAAAAGAGTGAGTTATAAAGTAAAACACATGAATTCAGAGCGTAGGTATTAAGTGCAGTCAAGTAGGACTATAATTAAAAGTACAACACCCATAGGTGAGTCCTACATGCAGAATGTCCGTCAGAACGCCGAAAAGAACCTCGTGAGCCACCAACTGCTAACTAGAACCTGGAGGGGCGCAAAACAAAGATGAGTGGGTCAGTAAAACCAAAAATTTTCCAAGAACATTTCATTTAAAACATTTCTAACCCCTCACCGTAAAACCTGTATACTTTCCCAGAAATTTATTATAAAAACATATATATATAAATATATATATATATATATATCATCAAAACTCAGCTCACAATCTTTCAACGCTTTTCAGAAAGAATATGCCATGCCATGCCAAAATATAATATGAATGCATCGATATAAATCAAGTGAAATAATAAATCAACCGGAGACCCTACAGTGGTCCTGTACGGCTGATTCTATAACTCAATATCCCACTCAGCCGGAGTCACCACAGTGACCTATACGGCCCTACTCTGCACGTCACTCGGAACTACGTAAGGTAGTCTGTACGATGAAAGGTGTAAGAATACGCTCTAGTGCTTTTCTCATCAATCATCGGCGCGCATCAACTAAGGTCACCCACTAGTCGGAATCACAACTAGCGATCTATACGACTAGCATGTCGGAACCCTCACATGGTCTGTACGACATTCACCTACTTGGATCCAAGGTGAGTGTGCAGTGCGGTGAATAATATAAGCACTAACACCTAGGGTGCAGGTTATGAGCTTTCAATGCAATTCACATAAAATAAATCGTATGAATAATGTAAAACTCATCTGTGCGTCCACAGCGTCAATTCATATATATATACATATGCATCAATTATCAATTCAAATATCTCATCGATTGCATGCATGGCATTTTAAAACATATTTTCAAATAAATTCATTTTCTGGGAAAAACAATAGTATATAGGTAATACGAAAACAAAACTGCCCACTCACTGGTAAGTCGATGGGTCGTAACCCCCGTGACGTCCCTGGATGCGCTCATCCTCGGGATAGGTGTCACCTATATGCGAAATAACTATAAAAACGTTAATTAAAACACATAACCAATCATTCGAAATAACTTCTCATACGGTGCTCAATTTGGGTACGTGAATATACCACAGTGGCCTACTCGACGTCACGGACGTCGAGGAATTTTTACAAAAATTTTTGGAAGCCCCACACGCCGGCCAAGGCACTGCCAGACGCGCGGTAAATGCGCAGGCCACGCACCGCGCGTGTCGTCTCCTACCTTGGGCTCGTCAAACTGAATTTTCTAATGGCCGGAAAACTGGGCAAATTTTGTAATCGCTTGTTCTCCTTCGTTTCTCAACCGTTTTCTTCAAATTTTATATCAATTTGAAGCCCTCAACATGTAGAATCACGATGGACTAGTTTCAAGGTCTAAAATCCACTAGATTTTACCTGGAGAAGCACGATAATCCGACAAATTTTGAAAAACTCCGTTCTCAGCCCTCCGACGTCCAAATGTTACCAACGAAGTACCCCGAAGCTCGTGAGGATATCCTTAAGCTCACTGTGAGCTTGAAATTCCCTGAAATGTATGATTTCACGTGTGCATAAACAGTGCACATTTTCGGGGTTAGGGTTTCACGACGATTCTGAGGGGTTTCACTTCCTAAAACTAGTACCATTCAACTCAGAACATCAAAAGGATGAAGAATCATACCTTATTTGCTTCGATCCGTGAAGTTTAGAGGGTTCTTGGGTTTCGTCCGTACTATTTCGAGAGTGAGAGAGAGACTGAACGGAGAAGTGAGAGAGAGAGGCACGGGGAAGAAGGAAGGAAAGGTGGTCTTGTGCGTGTGTGTGGTCCAACCAAAACCATACATACCAATTTTAATCCCTAACCACACAAAATACAATCCAAATTAATCCAACTTAAATTATTTTCTCCAAAAGTTTAGGGATGAATATTTAGTCCAAAAATATATATATGTCACACACACGTATCTTAATACCCGTCAAGGGTAATTCCGTCATTTCACGTTCCCGATATAAAAATCCCGGGCTGTGACAACTAGTACTTCTTGCAGAAAACACTTTAAATACTTTTGGAACCCAAGAACGTAATGAAGAAATTATCGATTCAGAAGTGCATGATGAACATTTTGCAATTTCAATAACAATTTTTACTCTATCTTTTAATGATCGTTTATATGAAACTTTACCTAATCTTAGTACATAGATCATGGTCAAACTACGAATCCTAGTAGATAATCAAAATTATAAGATGTTTAATTGGTTTGGATTGCCACGGACAAAATATAAGGCGTGTGTTGGATAACGGGTTTCACGGCGGCCTTGTAGACTTGGGCAACAACACGAAGACCAAGATTGTATTAAACTATTAGCCACGTTTTTCTTCTGATTTTTACTTGCCAATCGCCATCTTCTCCTCTCACCCACAAAACCCTCCCGATGCACTCTCAACCCTACACCCCTCCATTTCAACTATATATTATAATTATATTTCAACTTATCATGAGATAAAATGGTGTTACAACTAAGCATACTTATCATTTCATTAAAGTATTTTTTTTTAGGTGTGCAGTTGCGTCACGTCGCTCATGTGATCGGTGACCCTCTCTATCTTTCTTAATTTTTTATGTAAAATATTAAGTGCACTCAATGCATTTTGAATTCATGATGTTAAAAAGGTAAAAGTATCAAATAATGGATTGTCTAGATGGTTAATGTATTCCACTTCAATTTTAATATTGTGTTTTGAATTTAAACCTCTTTTTTTAGTTCAGATTAATGTGGAATCTCGCATGTCCTAAAAAATGAAATGAAAGAAAAAATTATTGTAAAAGAAGAAGAAAAACAACAACAACAACGATAATAATAGTATGACCTAATCCCTTGCCAAAAACATAACTTAGTGGTTAATCATATTGAAAGTCGCATGTGACTTTCTGGCACCCCCAAGAACTTGAATCATTGTACATTTTTGTTAATTTTTCTTTTATTTTTCATACCACTACAACAAACTATCATATTCATGTTTTTTTGAAATATATTTTTCCGTGCAAAATCTGTTATAGTTCGTATTTAAACACTTGTGATCAACTATTTAAAATCTAAACTTAAAGATATTTGAACTTTTTTTTGTTTTTTGTTAATTTTTCTTTTATATAAATCTAAACTATATATTAATAGAGCTCTATTTGTCAACCAAAAGAAGGTGAAAGAGTATTTAACAAAACAAAGTTTTGCTATTTTTTATTTCTAGAAAATAAAAATTTTGCATTTTTTTTACAAAAAAACGTGGATTAGCACTCACGGTTTTTAGTCGGTTTTGCAAATTCGTATATAAATCACCGTTCAATCTATTTCTTTTCACTTTTGCTTCACTGTGAAGTTTTAAAAATTAAGGTGAGACTTTCCGTTGAGATTCTTGAGTGTAGAACCCTATTTGACAACATTCTAGGCCTCACTACTATGTTTTTTCACTTATTTTTTTTTTCAGTTTTTGGCTCGAATATTCTACTAAATATATACATTTTTTGCTCAATAAACTGTAAAACTGCTTCCAAATTCCTTAAAAAGTTTAACTTAAAGCTCAGGAAAACTATTTTACGAAAATAAAAAATTTGTATTTTTGTCAGAAAAAAGGGTGTTAGGCGAGCTTGACACGTGTAAAATAAGGCGGACTTAGCTCTAACAGAACAAGGTGAACCATGACTTGCAAAACAAGGCAGGCTTCGATCACATAAAATGGGACGGACTTCTTGCACGCAAAACAAGACAAGCTCCGCACACTGAAAACGAGGCGGGATATGTCACACAAAACGAGGCTAGCCCTGTGCACGGAAAACAAGGCTGGCTCCGTGCACGCTAAAACGACGGAGGCTCCGTGGATGCAAAAAATGGACCGGCTTCTAGGACGTAAAATGATGCGAACACCTCACATGCAGAATGAAGCGAACCCAGGTAAGCTCTGCGCATTCCCGGGTGCTCAAAAAATGAGTCGGGCTCCACGCAAGAAAAATTATATTTTGAAGA